AAGGAAGCGATCCAAATTTAAAAATAACGGTGTATTCTGGCGCACGGTCCAAGCAAAAGCGATGGATCTCGCCGACTTCGACTGTCCTTCTGGACGCTCGGAAAGACATTCCTTCCGATGCAAAATACAACACAGAGCGCAAATCCCTTATACGCCAGCTCATCGAGAATCTTAGGAATGACCGCGGGAAGTGGTGAGTAGAAAAGTGCAGAAGAATGGAGAAGATTACGGCTATTGATAGTAATTGCACTCTTTTTCGTCTTATTTGGAATGCGGGACCCAGGAAGATAGGCGAGACTGAGGTAATTAAAGAATCCAATGGCAAGTGATTCATCATCAGCAACGCCGTCTAAATCGATGGGCTGACAATTTGGAGGCTCAGTTCAACTGGCCCCCATCGACGTCTGACTTATCTCCACCCACCTTCACTGATCAAATACTTCCAGTTTATGCCAGTGCTCCATTTGAAACGGAGGGTTCCCGGCAAATAAGTTATCTCAAAAGACATAAGGCGTTCGACCAAATGGACTGTTTCCATTGGCGTTTAAGGATGAGGGTTGAGCTTTAGCCTTGGAGTTGAAGAAGCTTCTGGGGTCAGTTTGAAGAGCGAGCAAGTTACAACTGAATGGCGCAAATAGGTTACCTTGCCCATTTACAAGAAAGGTGATAGATCCTCTTGCGAAAACCATATCGGAATTAGTTTAATTAACATTGCTTCTAAACTTCTCGCGGGCACCATACTCCATCGATTGTCTGCCGCACGTGAAGAGAGTATGCTGGTTTTAGATCTGGTTGAGATTCTGTCGACCACATCTTCACTCTTCACCAATCTCTAGAGCACCGACATTTCTTTCGTAGACCCACCACTTATATCTTCCTCGATCTTAAATCGGTTTTCGACTCAGTCGACCGCGCTGTCTTTCTCTGAAAGGTGTGCCTGAGAAGTTTATTTCAATATTGCGATCTCTTTATACTAAAGGCCGAAATAGAGTTCCAACTCACAGCACGTTTTCGCCCGAGTTCATCTCAGTTCATCTCATCTCGTCAAATAACCTTCCAATTGTCTGTACAATTGTTGCTGAAAGTTTTGAACATATTTTGCTGCACCGCATGATACCCCTTTTTAATTCCCATCATCCTTTGCAATTTGCCTATAAACTTCATCTGTCCACACTAGACGCTGTTACTCATACTGTTCATTCTATTCCATCCGTCTTAAATAAAGATGCAGGTTCTACTCGTTTAATATTTTCTTGATTAATCGAACGCCTTTGGTTCACTTGACTAAAGAATGTTTATTGAACTTATTTCTGAATGCGTTCTGACACCTGAAGTCTTGAATGTGCTAATCGACTACTTCTCCTGTAGGACTTATTGTAATTCACTGAATGGGGAAAAGTCGTCTTCCATTAACTTTGAAGCTGGTGATTTTCAGGGTAATATTTTGTTCCCTTTATTCTTTTCTGTTTATATAGAATCTGTCCATTCCCAGTAACTTTATTGCTCGCAAGTACGCTCGTGATATTGTGATTCGTTGCCCATCCCCTGGTTCAGATAGTTTTTGACCGTAAGGACAGCCTTTATGAACTTCAAGATTGGTCTGTCCCCCAATTCCTTGTACTTAACCTCAATAGGTGCTCTGAAGTTCCATTTAGCTTTGAAACCGGTCCCCGTTATCTTTTATTAGTAAATAATTTCCCCTGTCTTATAGTTAATGAGCAAAGCATTCCCAAATGTGTTTCTGGTAAATATGTTGGTGTCACCCTCACACGTGACCTGTCCTGTTACGCTCAAGCCATCCGTGTTTTTTTATAAAAGTTTGACAACAGTCTTTTTATGTATACCGGCTCAGGAAACTGACCGTCCCATGTAATCTGATTCCTTCCACCCTGGCTTTACTGCTCGTCCATACTTATCCCTGCTCTGAAAGAAAAAGGACAACTTTATTTTCCAGATACCTTAAACTCATTTCCTGCCCCAGTGGAGTTAATAACGCTGTTTTAGCTGATTGTCTTATTTCCAAGCATATTGACGCGTGTGATACCTTTATTGACATGATAATACGTGATCTATTTCACTGTCTGCACCGAGAAATCTTGAAATTAGTGTCGAATCCCCAAACTCCCTTCAAATATCAACTCCTTCCTGCGCATACTTCTAAATATAGAAACAGTGCAATTCCATAACTTGTTCGCTTATTGGTTAATCGTACCCACCTTAGGGGAAAAGTTACACTAATTTTTCTCTCATTTATTAAAGCATCAAGTTTGTTATATTGTCTTTGTACATTGATTGCAATTTATTTCATGTATCCACTTTCAAAGTTTGTAAACTGCTAAAAATTCACCCTTTGGGCGCATAAAGCGTTTCTTGATTTGACTTGACTTGGCGGTTTGTGGAAAGCCTAAGATAGTCAAAATGAAATCTGGCACGAAGGTATAGAAACCCAAACCAGGAGATTCGGTCACAGTTCGCGTTAGACTCCCTGGCTGGGGACCTCGGGATGATCGTAGCCGGTGGTTAGAGACATTGAATGATATGGCTGAGATTCAAAAACAGTGGCGTTTGTGCGTCTTCTCAATTTCTTTACAATTTTCTCTTACACTCTGTTTTCAATTTTTTGTCTTTCTCCCACTGCTTCAGTTAAATGAGCAGTTAAATGACATCAACCAAAACCGGCGCAAAAAAGTGCCGGATTGATGACCGTAAAAACTGAAAATAACTGCTTTAATTACATCTTATTTAAACGCATTTTTACTCCATCTACTCTATTCAAATACCAACAACTATATACACCTACAGAACTCACGGTTACTTCTTTGTTTCTTGCACCGTCGGTTTCTGTATAATAATAGATGAGTGGCGATGATCGGGCGGTAAGATCGTCAAACCTGACACATGAGAATCGTAATTTCAAACCCCGCCACCGCCAGCCATCTTCCCCTTTCTGTATTTCCTCAGGCCGCCGTAGTATGGCCCCGGACCAATTCCTGAAGCTTAATTCGCATTTCTATAATCAATGCATAATAACTGATACTTTAATTTTATTTATTCAGTATACAGTAATGCAGACGATATTTTGCGAAGGGGTCTGCAGCTGATCTAATGCTGTCTCGGAGGAGGTACAGAATTGGGACGGTGATTACGAGGTTCCAATCAAGTTAACCTTGATCCTGAGTTTATGATTTTGAATCCTGATCATTTTCTCTTTGTTGTTTCCCCCTAGCACCAAGTTAACGCTATATTTTTAGTTGATTTAATTTTCTTTCTAATTTACTTAAATTGTTAGACAGGTTGCAGCTAAATATGCAATTTTTGGTATGATAAAGCAAATTTCTTACTTGATATATCATTTTTTACCTCTAGCTCTTTTAGTGTGCGATCACGGAATGTTTTAACCCATAAGATGTTAGCACATTTGTGGCCAGTGGATTATTTATCCCGGGTACAAAACGGAATCTTTCCGTTCACTTGAATCGCTACGTCAGTCATTCACTCAGTGAGTGTAAAAATTTTCCCTTGTTTTTTGTGCATATGGGACAACTTTCTTACTTTTTATATCTATCGAAGCATTGGGACTATATGGTTTGTTAGTGTTTTATTTTTGTATACCTGAGGTAACTACCAGTATTCTTCTGCTCTCACTATTCATTCGAAACCCTATATGGTCAGTTCAATGACATCTCGCATCTCCGGGCCGATTCCTTCACACGAATTATACTTAACGCCCAGAATGTCTGCTTACAGCCCCAGCGGTGTGCGTTGCGGGAGTACTGGCTACAGTGAGAGTCGGTTCGGAGGTTCAGTTAATGCGCTCGATCTTCTCCAATGGCAGTGCAACTCCTCGTCCTTCGAAAATGGCAGCCCGTTTCAACACGCGGGTAAGCAAAGAACGTTTTTGCTGAATATAATTATTAAAAGACGTGCACTGTGTTATTACACAATAAGAATAAAGGTTGACTACGGAGGCGTTCGAAAGATAAATGTTAAAGTACGATATTCAGACTGAAAAAATAATGGCTTCATGCTTTTATGGTGGGTCGCAAACCGTGGTTTCCTAACAGTATTTTTAAGTGACAAGAGAGTAGTGGTGGATTGGATTCGATTACATGGAGAACTGTTTCGACCTTGTTGGGCTTCGTCCTCACAAATCCGAAACCTAACTGAGGATCAAAGATAGAGACAGCTGTACGGTGTTTCATGGCTTCTCAGTTCAGACCGTGTATTGCTGTCCTACACAACACAATTCTGTATAATTCTTCACTTGGAATATATATATATATATATAAGTATTAGCATCTAACCTGCTTAAAAGTCATCAAATCGTAGAATTAATTATTCAGTGGATTGGTTCTGAAACAGCTGTCCCAACAAATTTACCCGGTGTTACAAATGAGGTTATTCTAACAAAAATTTAAATCGTTCTCTTTTCGGACATACGTTCTGCGTCTGACTCAGTTGACGGAGCAGCTTTCTGGACTTGTCTTTTAGGAAGCTGTGTGCATGAGAATTATGTAAGTCTCCTCAAAGCCGTCTGCTCAAACTTATCAGGCCATATCAAGGTCCATGATTTTATATCCCCTTCATTTACCATCACAAGCGGACCTCGCAAGGGTACCCGGCTTCGTCATCCCTATTTAAGTTCGCAATAGACAAAATCCTAAGCAGCGCTCTAGAAAAGTGCAGAGCTTCCGGTGATAGACTCCATGACTTGGAATGTGCTGATGAAATCGTTATACTCTGCGACTTCCCCCAAGAAGCCCAAAACGTCCTGCATAAGTTGTCGTTGTCCGTCACGCAGTTTGGTGTGACCTTTTTCTCCATCTAAATATAAGGTATTATTACTAGACTGGCAAGAGACTACACCTTACCTCACGATCATGAGCGACCACTTAGAAATCGTCGATCACTTTACTTAACTCGGGTTGTTTCACCTCAAGAGAACTGACAGAAAAAATACCAGCGCGTATCCGCAAGGCTCGGGTGACTTTAACTAACCTACGCCACTTGTGGCGCCGATACGATCTCATTCTTGCCTTGAAAGATCGCGTTTACAATGCCACTGTATGCACTGTCCTACTATACAGCTGCAAGAGTTCGCCCTCCCATGCAGATGCCGCACGGAGATTAAGTGTCTTCGACCGCTGTTGCCTTTTCGCATCGCCAGAATATGTTGCCAACGACGCGGTTCGCCTCAGACAATCTCAGTCGTCCTCTGCATACCGTCATCTCGCTCCATAGAGTTTGATGGCTAAGACATTTTTTGCGGATTCCGGCTCAAAGACTGCCCCCTCGTGTTATGTTTGCGCAAGCAGACACTAACTGAAAACGGCGACAAGATGGACAACGGATAATCTGGGCTCGAACAATGAAGACTTTAACCTCAGAACTGGCAGTGGTATGACGCTCTAGACTCCCAGGTTGGGATCCCAAGGACGGAGAACATCTATAGCTTGATACACAAGCAGAAATGTCTGGTAACCGGTGTCAATGGCGCACCTATTGTGATATCCATTCGTTAATTTATGTAAACCTTTTTCACATCTCTTTCGCCATATGTTGTGGCACATTTGCCAATTCTATGTAATTGGTAACATGTTTAAAAAATTATGTATATGTATATATATCAGTGATCGGGTTTCATACGATGTGCCAGTAAANATTGATGGTGTCCAAATCAATCAGCTCCTGCATTGTCTGTTTTTGTTATAAGTCAGAGATATATTGTTTACAGACCTAAGAATTATTAGCTCTGTCCGGGCAGTATGAATTGCGTGTAGATCCCTGGATTCGATCTAACCAATCTTCCACGGTTCACACTAGAGCATGCATTTCTGGTTACTAATAAGCAGTTCAGTAATGACGCTTAAGAAAGCATGCGTAACTTATCCGCTTAGTCGTCCTTAAACATAAAACCGAACTTGAATGCCATTATTCCAATACGTAGTTCGGACAGGTAGCCTTAATTTCGAGAACAACCTTTCATGTGCGTTTGACGGTTCAGGAATATCTTCCAACGCTTTCCTTACCACTGGTGACAAATAAACCAGATCAAAGGTTGGTCATATCAGACCATGTGACTCACTTTAAAATAATAGTGAACGACGAGTGTGGGCGTTTGGATTTCGTGGAGATTTCTTTATTTCAAATGACAGCAAGCTCTGCACGTTTCGCTCCGAATTTGTTGAAATTCATTAAGTGGTTCATCCTCTTTGAACTCATAAACCTTTTTCCGGGACCAAATGATCTGAGCGATGTCTTCTTAGATGGTAATTGTGGGCAACTTTAGCAGACTTCAATACGGATGATGCGGTTGATACAATGTTTATCATTCAAGGATCAAGCTTTCGTCATTTGGTGGCACTATGTTCAGTGGAGTTTCAGGTTGAATGGTGTTTTAGGATAGAACTTGGATTGCGATATCTTAACTGTTCTAGTTTGTCATCCCCGGATGACGTTTGAGTGCCTTTTAATCTCGATTTATTCATGAACTCCAAACGTGGGTGGCCTGCTTGGAGGGCGATTCATTGTATTTTGATAGAAGCAAATGTATGTCTGTGAAATCTTAGTTACTTAAAAGACGTTGATATAGCACTGGTACATTGTGTGGAACGCTCACTGTTCTTCCGAACGGGAAATTTCAATTATTGCTGATTTGAAGTGTGTTTCAACAACACCAGCTCATAGCTTGCGACGCAAAAATCAACGTTTGGAAGTCGCATTCGCATCCCGGGTGAATTATGCTGATTCTCAGAGAACTACCTTGCGTGTGAACAACTTTATTTGACAAATGATTAGATCGCTTTGGTACGTTCTTCATTCTCGTTCGATTTTTCGTATTCTTAATGAGCGGTATGGTTCATTTTGTCCACTGGGTATAGTTGGTCTTACCATTTTGTAAACTAAAACAGACTAATTGTTTTTGTTTTTCAGTCTCGGATCGTTCGCAAAAAAATCACATCCGAGAGAACATTCGTCGTCTCCGACGGATGCAAGCCACGCCGTCGGCGAAACGCGCACCGTACAATGCCTCTTTCATCCCGACTACGCAACTGTATCAAGTTAGCCCCGCAAGTCAACATGTCGTGGACACTTTACCGCCGAGACCCAATACCACAATGCCGCGATACTCTCAACCTACTTCCGTGGAACCACCAATACCTGGAGTACGTTTGGTTGCTCCTATCTTATACATCATTTTCTGATTGTTGTGACATAAACGATCCCGCGTCGCCATGTTACCTCGTTCCAACTGGTGGTTAATGAATAATAATAACATCAATAATATTGATTGTTATGCAATGGATGAAAACATTTTTTTCAGGATATAACCGCACCTGCTTCATTATTTCGTGATTAATCTCGCCGTATACAGACATTAGAAAGCATTGTACAGCTCTTTTGATCTGATTGGGCTTCATGATCAATGTGATCCCATCGATACAGGTGGAAATCGTGGATGCAAGACCCTTTAGTTTGAACGCAAACACTCCGTGTACCCGATCACCGGGCAGTTATCGATTTCGCTCATATGGTACACACCATGTAAGGCGAACTGGTTTCACCGTTTGCGCGGTGAAATGATGAAACTAAAATGACTATCCACAGAATTCATTGAACTTAAAACTGGCTACTGAAATTTTCGGTTTATTCGTTTCTGTTGAATGACTCAGCACAACTGTCCTGTTACACTATAACTAATCAGTAAGGTAAATGCGACCAATATTCAGATGAATCGCCAAATGTTTCCAACGGAGATGATTACTCGGTTGATGTATCATATATATATACACGCATTTTCCATCTTCCGCTTGAATTTGCTTACATACCTATCTTCATTCTGCTGTTTTATCCAAATGGGCGACCTTAAGACGGCAACCAAAACCGGCGCACGGAAGTACATGGTTAATGGTATATTGCCTTGAGTTGAGGGCCTAGATGAGGTGTGTAATCACCTACCTAATGGTGTATTATCTCACTTCAATTGCTTTTAGAAGCAGTATAAAAGATATTTTTGTGCCTGATGGATTGAGAAGGAAGAACGCATTCCAGATGAGCATCAGGATTGGTAAATAAAATAATTAAACGTCACCTCTTCCAAAATACTCATTCCGCGACTAGCGCAAATGTCTGGGGGTGGTGGTGACGCAGTCGTTTTATTAATCGATTAGACATCATTAGTTTTTTCCGATTCCTTCTTAGCTAACTATTCACTCGTCGAGATTCCCAGAACGACATGGCTTGCTTAGCAAACAAGATCATTTGTGAACATGTACTTGACTTGATCCGGTCATAATTCCACGTGCTAGTTCAGCAATTGATCCAGCGTTAGACCTGTTACCGTGTACTTGGACTCAGCATTATTGACAGAGTTGATTCATCATTGAGCAAAGTAGTTAGTTCTTAAAAGCGATTCGTTCAGTTCATTTAGCTTACCCTGGCCTCAGCCTGACGTAGCCGACCGAAACGCCTGTGACCCATGGGCACAGAACGGAAATGGAAGAGCTCACTCCATTCATCGACTGAAAATTTCCAAACCACATATCACAAGATCATAATCAAACAATCATATCATATCAGACCATTACACTGGTTTGACAATTTTGAACCCTATATATAACTGTATTAGCCCGATGTAGGAGATATCAAAAACAAGCTTTGTTCGCTACAGTACTTGAACATTGATTTAATTTTTGTATTGTCTATTCCTGGCAATCAGGGTTTTAAACCTTGGTAGTTATGGGCGGACCGCGTTGGGGGTGTTTCTAGTTTCGTTTCTTAGCCTGATCAACCCTAATGTATTTCGTCCGAGAGCAAATCATGGACTGATTTCTATATTGTCTGGGTTGCTGTGCCTTTGTTTGATGTGCAGTCTGCACTGAGGTGAGTGTGAAATACAATAGTGGTATAATCAGTGAATGTGTTTAGTCATTCTTGTTCTAATTCATCGGTCGACCAAATGGATCGCCTAGCGATATCAAGAAAAAGAAGTGCCCGTCAGTGGTTGTTCGAGCTAAACTAATTGATGTTAACTTTGTTTCATGCAGTATAATGAACGTAGAGAATAAGGTTATTACTGTTCTTTGTGTCAGAGTTAGAGTCACTTTGAACATCTTATGCTGTTCATTTTATATATATGTATTATTTTTGGAAGAAAAGTTGTAATTATGCATAAAACGCCTTCTCTCTAATGTCAATCTGCAGACCGTGGAGAGCTGCTCATCAATCGATTTAAAGAAAGGAATAAAGGACACTCAACACTCACCAGAGACCCCTTCTCGTAATCTAACCGTAAGCTCCTTTTCAAACCATAGTGGACACATCTCGCCTGACTTGCCCTTCTTTCTATTCCTTGTTTTCTCAGATCTCAGGATTATATTTTAGGTTTTTGGTTTAGATGCGCTCAGTCTATGCATACTCTGCACCAAGGCCTTTTTCAGTGCCTTTATAATAAGTAGTGTATGACTCACTCGACAAAATTTCCCTAGAAGCAAAAAACAGTTTCGCTGATTTTTCCGCTCGTCAGGCAGGCATATCCCGTAATCTTTTGTCACTATATTCATATACTTGTACCCAGAAAGTGCATATATATATATATGAGAGACTATCAGGTCTCGAAACAGCATTAAAACTCGGCCCTGGTGTTGAGGTGGCCGAGATTAGACGCAGCTAACCAACGCACATCCAGTATAGAATCATCGCAGTGATTCTTCAGGAATTATTAGTCTAGAATCCAATCCTCGAGCTGCAAATGTGATTCGCGTCGCATAATTCACATAGGGAGTTCAAGTATCATGTGACATTTTTACGTAAGGAATTGTATGCATCAGTCTTTTAACCACAACACGAACCTATGGGACAAAAAAGTATGAGCTTGTAAGTTATTCCCATAATAAAACTTCGAAACTTTGTATAAGAATAACTAGAAAGGAGATTACCGCGAACACCTATCTGCAGAGCGGCAAGAGTCGCGAAACCGTTTGTGTGCTCCTGGGAAATTTTGTCCAGTCATTCATATACTACTCATTATAAAAAACGGATTTTTCCTATCATGAACGAGTTTTACCCACAAGAATGAATCACGTTTTACGTTTAAACTTCTTTTCTCTTCTTAAGGATTAACTCAGATAGTTCACATTACCGTCAGCTATCATTAGGAGGGGGGGGAGAGCAGTTCCATTCAAAACAGCGACCCTCACTGGTAGGATATGGACCACGCTCTCTTACGATACGTATTCTGTCTGTACCTGATGCACAACCATACGAAAGCCGCCGGAAACTGATTCCCACGATTCAGTGTAAGAGACAATTGCAAATCGGCCTTCATAGCGGAGTTCTTTCATCAACTCTCAGTTTAAACACCCTTCGAATGACTCAATGAACACCAAGGAAGCTGTCCAGATTTCGATAGAAAAAGGATTCAGCACACTATCCAAACACAACTTATTTCCAAGATCTCTGTTGTTCTGCTGTACATCATTCCTCTTGAAGCCACATATGACAGCGCATCAAGCCCTTAAACGAAAACTCGGCGGAGCTTAAGAACTTACCGCGAGAAGTGGTGAGTAGCAAACTGGGGAGATAGATAAGACGGTGGTTGTGGGTGACACTCGCCATCTTTTCCATCTGATCAATAGTATGGGTCCCATGGAACGTAAGTTTAAGTGAAGTAACTAAGGGCTTCCATGGAACACGGATTACTTTCTAGCAACGAGATCTTGAACGATTGGTAGGATATTTTAAGACATCATTCAATTGGTGTCCATCAGCCATTGCAGTACTATCCATTGCTTGTGGGCATTTATGAAGCAGCACCCGAAATCGGTTGAATAAAGTGCATAGTTAGTGGCTGTAAAACCTGAAAAGTCTGTTTGCGATTGGCAATACATGCAGTTCAATATGGTGTTTATTTAGAATTGTGAAACAAAAAACAGTCTTCTAATAAACGTGTTCTCAGAACTTGCCTGTGTGTCCAAAGTTGCATGAGTCTGCGTACTGTTCACCATCTCACGTTGGAGTAGTGTTCTCAAGAATATCTCGTTTGATTCTGTTTTGTGTGCATGCATTTTGACACCTGTGATCGGTTCACGAGCTATGCGCTGCCTGATGAACACCACTATCTGTATGCTCATTTCACAAAATGTGTCTCATCCCTGTTATCGTTCCAACTTTGGGTTTATCCTGCCATGTACTAGTACCTCCCGCAATCGGCTCATCACTTACTTCACTTGCATTTTATTCAGTTGAACCTGTATGATTGTGAACTTGATAAATAACTTATCCTTTTAGGACTGTTTTGTTTTATCTAGTATGTAATTTGTGCTGTACCGCTCACTCATTTATGCTCTTATTTCTCCACTGACCCTTGTAAAAAAAGCTGAAAATTACTGTTAGATGCACAAGGATTTGGACTTAACTGGGGGTGTAATTCTCTGCCAATTTGGATATATATACATCGGTTTGTATAACAAGATAGTATACACTACTGATGTGACCAACCAAGGTCAAAACAGCTTTCTGCATTTCCCTGTCTACCTTTGAACGAAATGTTTTCACGAATAAAATATCCTCATAGGTTACATCTTTCTCGAGAGTTTGACATGTACAGAAAGGGAGGAACACAGATTAATGATAATTAATTAATGAATATATGACAGTTGTCTTTTATGTCAATAATGTTATACACAAGTCATGGGAAAAACGTACTGATTTATCTGCTTTTATATAAACTAAGCTGGTGGATACATTAGTCTGTGGGGTATATCTTCATCCATATTTCTCAACTTATCGGTAATTGATTTGTACAGTGATGATCACCCCAAGGTTAATTTTTTCGGTAACTATTTTCGATTACCGTGTTTAAAATCTTTCAGTCCCGACTGTTTTTGAAGTCACGTGGTAAAAATATCCCTTACTCTGTGCAAAACTCTCCTCTTGATTGTCCTATCCAAAAAACTCAGGCAAAAACCACAAGCACAGATACCACAAGCGCTCCATGGCCGGTTGATTATTGCGGGTCATCTCATGAAGAGTATTCATCCCAAGAATTCAGTGCAGAGGGTCTTCGCTTAAATAAACCAGATCATGTTCCGCCGCGATTCGTTGATCGGCCATCCTCTCCGATAAGACAAAACAGTTATAGCCGCGAATCCATCGGTGTACAATGTCACGAGACTCGTCCCTCGTCCGATTCAACCAACTCACTGCCACGCCATATGGTCAGGTTGTCCAAAGGTGTTCAAGTGATGCCAGCCACTGGTTATTCACCGCCTCGTGGTCAACATACCGATCCGGTGAGTGTCGAAGCAAATCAAGCACTGGAGAAGTTGGGGCGAGACAGAATCAGAACAGTCAGTGAAGATGCAAATCAGCCATCACGTTCAGCCTCAGCTGGTCCCTGTCGACGTGGTTATATGCGCGCGCATGCAAAGACGGTCAATGGAGAGTGGAATCTGAAAATACTAGGCACTTTGCCTCTTCGACGAATCAGCCGGTCTCCCAGACCAGAACGACTGACCGTTCCGAAAGCCAGTTCAGCCAAATCCGTAGGCTCAATGAATGAATATGAGTCTGCAGTCAGCTGTTGCTGTTCTAGTCTTTTTTCTTTGCAAATCATCTGAAAATTGTTCTCCATGCTTTTTAAAAGTCTAACTTTGTGGTACAACATATGGATTGATGTACTTTATAAAAATATTTAGTTCAAATAAAATTAGCCTTGATTATACTTTTTATACGATAAGTTTTCTTTCAATTCTTTCGTTATTCGTTGTCCTTTTCGCTTACTGTGAATAGTTTACTTGCTATAGATCATACTACTATTAGTAGCCAAATCCGTTTTATAATTTTGTTCACACACTGTGATGCGGATGCCAAGGATACAATTAAATAGTTTATCAGTATGTCGAAAATGGGGATTTAAAAAGGGATACGTTTCCAATAAATGGAACCTCTTCTCGGCATTTACAAACCAATCGCGGTTTGAACCGAGTTCATTGACAAATCAGCTGATAGATGTTTTTCTCACCCCATGGTTCTCCATTCTTTTGGACAGGTTCAGTTTATTCGACGCGATATCAACTATGTCCGCGCAAATGCTCACCTAGCCACAGTAAAACCTCCGCGAGCGATACGGATAAGTTCGGCTACGAACAGTCGTGCAAATACACCTCAGCCGCTGGATGACCCCCGAACGTCTGTACCATCACGGCCTGGTTCTGGTCCAGGAGGAGATGCACGCAAGCTGATGTGGCCTCAGCGACGATTGCCAGTCGGTTCCTTACCAACCTAGTGAGTGTTAGAATTTATGCGAGCTTATAGTGCATAACTTTTGAACAAATGGATTTATCAACAGTATGAAAATAGACGGTCCATCGATGACATTTTCCTTGCATTTCTCGTCCATACTGGGCAGGCCACCCTAACTACGGTGTTCATAATTGCGTTACAAAAATGGTTAATAGTTGACTAATAATGGCAATAATTCATCACATAAGCGATACCTCTACCTCATATTGTATCATTAAAGTTTCTTCTTTGGTCTACCATAGACAGCTGCATGAGTTGCTGTTGATTGACTTAAGTATGAGATTTGGACCATTTATCACACCGTCTGGGAAATTTGATCGGAAACATTAAATGCACGGGGAAATTCAAACCTTGCTTTTGATTACAGTAATAGTATATGAAAATGTACCATTTCGATAGTGAAGGTGGGGACACAGGTGGGTAAAATTCTGATCAGGCAATTCATCATTTACGTTTATCCACTTTACTTGAACGTATCTGGTGTGTCAAGTCCATCCGTTTTTCACATTTCACGAATCTGACGTTTGTAAAACGTGAAAAGAATATTTTAATGACAATCCCATCACTTCATTGCCGATAAGTTGTTCTCTGGCTTTCAGGAATATGTATGTGGTTCACATTACTAATAGTGAAAAAGCTGCAATCTAGAATGTCAATTAGAAGTTTCTATCATAATGACATGCATCAGAGATTTTTGTTCGTTCTTTATCCAATAATTTGTATGATACTTTGTTCCTACTGACACAGAATCGGAAAGAAATATTTTAATTCTAAAAGAACAGATTTTATTAACTCGCAATCATTCATTCCTCAACCGAATACCATAGCTTATCGTTTATCAGTTCAGTTGCCTCAGTTGATTGGTCTCTGATGCTTACTCGACTTTTCTTATCTCACTCGCTCGTTGATTATGATACACACTTGGCTTCTCTCCTCTTCTCTGTACCTCGGAAACATAGCGGGCCTTTAAATTAGCATTTTCATGTTCCAAAATGCCTAGGTAATAAAACATGGTAATCAAACGACACTGGATATTTGTGTAAGGCTGGCATTGAAAATTACAAATAAAATTACCATATATATATGTGTATATATATATATATAACATGTTTCAGCGTGTGATTGTTTAAGAGAGCAGGTCGTCACGAAGTATGTCACTGAGTGCTTTCTGTTATACCATGTCAGTCTGATCATATGGGTAATGAAACTTACATCCAATTGCTGTTTTAGAGAATGGAATCAATTCACTGGTTTCTAACCGTAGGGTAAAATCATTCCATTTGTACATTGTTTAACCGAGGGACAGAGGCACGATATTATTTTAAACCAAATCGCTCCTGTCGCAGATTCAAGAAGAGAATACAGCTTGACGTGCATTGAATGCTTGCGTTTCTCTATGACCCTGCGAGTTATACATGATGGTCGTTAGCTACCAGCCGCAGATCCTATCATGCCTGAAATATCAATAGGCATAGACCGGACGAAGCTCAATCTCACATTAACAGCTACTTGGGCATCTCCTGACCTCCTTGTCTATCAACTCTCGCCTCTAGTGAGGTCACTCCAGGAAATAAACACGGAAAGGGGCAGTTTACCGTTAAAAACCCACTAAATGGATGTAGGAGCGTGGTATCTGCGGCTTCCTCCCGATGGACAGCTACCTTCCGACCGAGCTGAGCAACTCCAGCAAAAAAGGTGCTATCCCGTCCACGTTCCGTTTGTCTGATTGGGTGTATTAGACTAAGGGCCATTCTCGAACAGCGGACCGACAATCACCGCACCAGCGAACAATACACTTAACCGAAACCCCGAAGGCCTTGTGTGAAAGGCCTCCAGAAGTTCCCACTCGGGTGCTTCTGTCAGGCTCCCCGCACTGGATCCGATAACGGATGTCGTAGTAGTCGTGGAGGACTTCAGTGCTCAAATGGGATACCTGGACAAATCAGAAAGGCTTCTTGGCAGACCACATGCAATCCCAGCCAACCGGACGAATAAAGGAGATCGCCTGCTTCAACTTTGCGCGGACCACGGATTGTTCTTGTGAAGCACCAACTTCTCGCACTAGAATCGACACCGTCTACATGGAAACCGCCAATTTCTTCACAGCGCTGGACCCAAATAGACCATATCGCCATCAGTTACCGCTGGAAGGGGTCCATTCAATATTACTATTCTCACCAGTCAACACCTTTGGGTACGGACCACGTTTTGTTACCACTCAGATTCTCCCTACACCTTGTAAAGAACCTCAAAAATGCCACCGGAAATGGATGGTACCATACTTTCAGCGATAACCACTAATCGGCTTTCAAAGTGGAACTCTCTCTCTCTGATCGTTTTCCATCTCAGCCATTTTTCTGTTCCTTTGTTCAAATGGGCAGTCAAAGGACAGCAACCAAAACCGGTGCCTGAAAGTACATGTTTAATGGTTGTAAAAGCTGAAAACCAAAGCGGTGAAGTTTATCAAGGTCAGGAAGCGGTGCAGTAAAGAATATTGCATACGTTGTATGCTTATTCATTCTTGATAGATGAATGCTGCTAAGATATGGGATCGTTGCTGAGTCGTTTACCATAAATCTGAAATAGCACACGAAACACAGATAACACACGCCGACTCAATGACCCGAAACGAGTCCAAAACATGAGTCAACTGAGCACAGCACAATAGAAAAGTAGTGGCACTAATCGCC